GTTAAAGCGGCCAATACCGCAACTCTACGAGCTCTCATTCCGGAACTTGCTGATGATTTTCCTTTTCTTGATATCATCCGACCATATAAAAGTCGAATAACAATAGGCATTATCTCAGCTCTATGTGAAAATTCTATAGAACCACCATCCTTATTTAAAGAAAATGTTGATAATTCATCCCTAAACTTAATCTCATTAACAAAATTACGGAGATTATCTTCATAAGGAGTAACACCTTTATATTTCCAAGTGAAAAGACATTCCAAAGCGAGACCCTGAACTTTGATATCCCCTATCGTCAACAAGTTCAAATAAACATTTTGTAAATTAGCTGACTTATATACCGATCGCGGATTTTTAAATTTGGCGAAAAGTTTCAAGAAAAGTGCCATTTTAGTTCTCGTCGTTTTTGGAGATTGTTCAAGGATTTTAAGAATCTCTATTTTATTTTCTTTTTGATAATCATTTTCACTATTTAGTGTATAAACTACATCTTCGGACTTCGTTTCTAATACTGGACTTAGATTTTGATTATCGATTTCCATCTTATTCGAAAGTTCTTCATCTCCTGGATCATATTCGGATTCTGCAAAATGAAGGAAAAAGGGAACAAACTGCTTAGAATGCTGTTCAACGATGTGTGGCACTTCGGTGAGAGTTTTGATAAGAAGTCCATAATAATTCCAATGGTCTATCTTTTCATTCTGAAGAGGAGAACACACCTATTAAAAAAAAGTGGTTTGTTAAAAATTGGTGAAAAAATATTTTACTCTTCGAGTTAATTTCGAATAAAATACTAAACCAAAGATAATTTTTATTTACCGAAACATAATGCAATAATAAACTGTGTTGACCATTGTTTTTAAAAAACTTGGATGACTCGTTTGCAGTTTTATTAAATTTATTTAAATGGGGACAGTCGAATGGTTCATCATGAATCTTCATAGAAATGAACATATTATTTACTTTATCAAAATGTGCTTCTAGAGTATTTTTCGAAAATCCATTTTCTGCTAATTTTGACTCATTCTCAAATCGTGAAAGTTCGTCATGAATCAATTTCCAAAATGTACGTGGATCAACTTGTGAAAAGTTCACTAAAGCAATTATTGCATCCGGCCATATAGCACTAAAATTTATGGTCAATAAGCCTAAAACAAAATGATTGAAATTTAAATTTCAAAATACAAGAAAATTTTTATAGATAATAAATAATCTTTTAACACGTACCAAAACAATACAATGGAATAACATCGGCATAAAATTCCGGTACACGTTTTGATGATAACAAAGTATTCAACTTTCGAAGCTGCAAAGTTTTTTCACGATACGAACATATATTAGTTTCTATTTCTTCAACTTTTAATGCCATTGCGAAAATTTCGCAAGGTTCCTTGACATCTATAAAATTCTCTTCAGACCGGAGATGAAATTGATCAAAAAGTTTGAGGATTTTAAATGAATATAATCGACGATGGTGTTTAAATGAGCTAAAATTGGATTTTAAATAAGGATAAATTCTCTCGAGATCGTTTGTATGAAATAGACTGTTGTGTTTAGAACTATAATAAAATGACAAAGTTAGATGTAGAACGTGATAATATAATAAATGTTAAGTAAATTACCGTAGCCTAATATATTCCAGATATTCCGCAATTCCTTTCAAAATCATTTCATTGGTCCCATATCGAATCAAGATCTCATCAATAATCACCCTCCATAGTTCAACCATAAATTCAATTTCTTCATTTTCACAATTTTTTTTCACAAATATTGTTAATGTTTCAATAGCTTGACCCAATAAATTTTGTATTAAAAAAAGTGGTGAACCGTCAATAAACGGTCTCCTTGTGAGTGGCGAAACTGAAATGTTAGATGACTGTAGACAGCTCAACAATGACTTTATTAATGATGATAATGAATTAATAACCGAATTAATTGGTGCAGTCAAGTGGTGAATAATAGTAAGGGCGGCTGAAATTAGAGATATTTCTGAATGGCAGCTGGACTCCTAGAAGTTTGAACATGAAAATTAACAAAAAGATCCAAAAAAGATCAAAAAAAAAAAATAATAATAATCACACCTCTTTTAAAGAAGCAAAACTCAATTTCTGAGCATCTGAATACCAATCATAATCCTGCTTGATTATATTTATTAATTCATTCGTAACGTTCTTATGCATTATAAGCTCTGATTTTTCGGATTTCATTTGTATATTAGGAAATCTTATTAATCCATTCTTCGTAACGAGTGAAGAAATAGTTCCCGAAGAAATGGAAATGGTATTCGTAAAAAATAAATTGGCCAAAAAAAGTGTCAACTTTGTACTATCTTTTTCCCAATGAATTGTAGAATACCTAAAAAAGGAAACCTTATGAGTGAAATTTCATGATACAAGGTATAAGTAGTAAAATTTATAAATGATTACCTTATAATGTACGGAAGCATAATTTTGGTATAATCTTTACATTTTAGAAATGATAGGTTTAATGAAAACGATAATACAGCGTCAACATCCTATATTAATCGTTTATTTAATTTTGATTTAATATATTTAATAAAACCTTAAAGATTAATAACAACTTTAACATACGTCATATTCGAATATTTTATCCAAGATTACTTTTCCACCGAGGATATCATCCAGATTGGCCAATGTGAGCAACGATGCGCATATTTTAAAGAATTGTCGTTGAAGTAAAGTCAATCCTTGTGATGACGAAACAAGAATATATGGAGTTATATTTTGTATCATTATGAAGATACGCTTGAAGTCTAATAAAAATCAAATGTCGATTAATCTCTGTAATCATGATATTAACTTACTTTTTTACAATCAAATTCTCACCATTAACTTGATTTCCTTTACGAAAGGTCAAACAGATATAAATCAGAGATAAGTTTAATCCAATTTTTAATTTAAGCGTCTCCGGTATTACTTCACTTCCATTTTTATCAAATTTAATTAAATTATCATTAATAATATTTTCAATTTCCTCCAAATATAAATCCCATATTGGGCCAAAACTCCCACATTTGACATAATGAAGAAGTGAAATTGTGGTTTCTGTAAGAATAAAATAACATGGATTTGATTCTATTATATTAATTAATAAGAAATGATTATCAATTAATAAAGGTAACGCATTTGACCATCATTATAATATATATTATTGAATATGGCTTACCAATATCATTATCTTTTTCAATTTTCGAATAAGAGGCGTATAATAATTCTTTCAATAAAATCTGTCCCCTTGAATGAAGTCTATTTTTAGAAGACTTTTTAGAAATGCAAAGAAATAAAAATTAATAAATCGGATATAGATAGCCGGTATGAAATAAAATAAGATATATACTTTAGCAGCTTCACTAAATAGCATGCTCAACCCTCTGCAATAAACTTCTGATGAAGACTCGTATGCTGACTCGATAATATAGTTAACGACCTCTGTAAGATTATTTTTTTGAGCCTTGCGTAGAAGAAATGCAAACGATTCGGCAGCAAAACGTTGAATATAAGGTTTCTGATACTCTTTGCCAAGTAAAGGAGCTATAAGACTTTGTTGAAATTTAATGTTAATAAAATATAAATAATCCTATAAGTTACTGAAATATGTCATTTACCGGTATGTTGGACATAAGTTATCAATAATTTGTTTTATTAAATACTTAAATAAATAAGCAATACAATTAAAGGTGCACTAAATATGATAAATAGAGAAATGAAAGAAAATTGTTAACCAATGAACGATTTATAATATTATTAAATTAAATTACATACTTCAATAGTATTAACATCTCGATGTTTCGTTAAAGGAACGATGCATGCAAATATTCGTTCGAAATATGAATAGAATTCAATTTCAATATCTTTAGCGAATTTTGTTGTTAGACTAATATTAAAAACAAGGTTAGTCATTTATCACAATGATGAATTATAATTAATATAAATGTCGTTAGCTGCTTACTCTAACAAAGGTTCTAATGCTAGACTATCTTCAACTTTAAGATGTTTTTCCAAAATCTCAACAACTTTTTCTTTATGATATAGCAATTGAGGTAATGATTGGCAATATTCCGACACTTCGCGAACAAAAGTTGCGAAATGCATTGTCAAATTAAGTTCTTTCCATGATTCCAATGATTCTTGAAAAAAGGAACCAAGAGCCTTGTTCAAAAAAATCGTTTCGTTAATCCTTTATTATTTTTTTTTTTTTTTTATAAAGACATAAATATTACCTCTGGCTCGTCCTGAATGTTTTTATCACGACGCGATACATCAATTTTGATACTTTTTACACGTAAATTAAAAGTTTGATACTATAAAATTCGAGCAAATAAGTTAAAACGCTAATTCACAAAAAATTATAATTATAACGAAAAGACATTACTTTATACCGATTTTTTCCTTCACCAGTATTAAGTTCTTTTGATATTATATTATCTTTCATGTTGAATTTTTAACGTTAATTCAATAATTTTTTTATATAAAAAGAATGAAGAATTCTATTTTATATACAGTAACTTTTTTTTTAGATTATCAATAAATATTTTCTGCGAAATTTTATTGGTTATGGTTTCATTTCGGGTTTTTGATCAAAATCATGAATTGAGTTGATCGATCAACCATATGTGCCCTTTTGTTGTTCGGATTGCTGATCGAGTTACACAATTTCGCCAGCAATAATTATCAACTCAACACGCGATCAAAAATCCGAACGATCAGAAATGAACAGGCCTTATAAAAGCATTAACTGTTAAAGAAGTTTGTTTATGTTGAATAAAATAGCTATTTATAATTGGCTATTATAATTATATTCTTAATATTCAAAATTACATGTACTGTATTTATAAATAATCTTTCTAAAATGGTTTCTGAATTTATTGGACAAAATTGGCAATACGCGATAAACTTATGAATCAAGATGAAAAAATTAAAGCTTTTCTATAAATGATAGAATATAATTATTTTTAATCTAAAAATCATTATTACATTTTATTTCCCCCACTTATCTTTCAAGACGAGGCAACCATCCTTAAGAACAGCTACGTTCTTAGTGATCTCGAGAAGGAGATCCCGATTGCGTAAATCCTCCTGGATTCTCTTACGGAACGTTCTGATAATTGTGGGCACTGTAAGTTCGCGATTCTTGCTGATTATTTGCCGAACTTCTCTTTCTGAGATCAATCTAGAGGAGTCTGCACGTGAGCTGCTAGAAAGAGCAGCACTTTGAGCCGCTGCTTGAGAACCAGAAATTGGTTTTTCAGTTCGGGCTTTCTTACCTGTGGTAGGTATAGGTTCCTTAACTTCACGAACTCGTTTAATGTCGCCAGTAGTTGTACGTACAGTAGAAGAAACGTTCATACTTGCTGGACGACTGATTGTATTTGAAGTAGCAGTTGAAGATATAGCAGTTTCATTTTGTCTAAACCGTTTATGAGTTGTAGTAGGCCTATCATCATCAGATGAAGGTTCGTACATAGTCGATCTCTTTCCGAGAGATGACCTTTGTGGCATGGATCCAGAAATTTGATTCATGCTAGGTTTATCACTACTTTTAAATTTGGTTTTCACAGGTGCTTCTTCACCAGTCGACAATTTAGTTGTACTTTTGATCTTGCTTTGAGGAATAGATTTAGTTAATGTTGATTTTGTTTTAGCCGCAGTAGCTTTACCTTTCGGTTTTTCAGCGGTCGCTTTCGGTTTAGGGGTCGCAATTGCTTTCACTTTTCCGGTAGCTTTGACGGCCGTCTTAGGTTTAGCAGGTGATTTGCCTTTATCAGTCTTCACGGTAGGAGTGGGTTTAGTACCAGCAGCTCCAATAACCGGAGTTCTCGCAGGAGATTCTGAACTTGATTCTTCTTCAGATTCATCAAATTCACTAGCATAAGGATTCGATTCCTGATCACTATCGTCGTAAGCTTCATTGGCATCTAATTTTCTGACCAACTTCTTTAATTGCATTCCTTCCTGAGTTAATTTAAGAGAAGGATCTTCTTCCTCATCTTCATCCTCAAGAGACGTAGGTTTGTGGATGGCTCTTTTCTTTAACTTGACGACTTCTGCGTTTTCTTCATCAATAGGGTTAGCATCATCGGGCAATTCTTCTTCATCATCCTCAAAAACCTGCTCATATTCCATCTCTTCATCGCTTTCAATCCCTCTCCTTGGTCTTTTGACATTTCCTTCGTCATCAGAACCGAATAAATCATCCTCATTCTCGACAGTCCTCAATGAAGCCTTGAGATTAATAATGCCGCCTTCTTCCTCGGCTATTTTTTTCTCCTTTTCATTTTGTTTACCCCACCTCCGCATCATCCAGCGATCATTATCTCTCTTTTTAGCTCTTGCCATCTACAACAATTCGTTAAGTAAAAATTAAATAAAAAAAAATTTATTTGATCTATAGACAATTACCTCCTCTTCTGCTTCTTCGATTGTAAGAGTCTTGTACTTAATTTGTGGACGGAATGTATACCACCGATGCGAAGGAAGGAATCTAAGCTTATTATCCTGAAATAAGATTCATAAAATATTATATAGTTTGATTTTATGCAATGAAATGAGATCCATTAATACAATACATACATCTAGTCTATCTTTTATCAAGAATCCATATTTTGCATCAGTTTCTTCGAAATGGCCAACCCATGTATGAGTACCATCATAGTCCTCCAATACCCATGGTAATCGTTCTTCAGCTTTAAGCTGTCTTTGCCTATCATCAGCCAAATAAATTTGTGTGGTTCTTTTCTTGAATAAATTTTTCTTGTTATGTCTAGCACCGGCGAACGGTGCAATTTTAGAAGTATCTGCACCAGTGATAGGAATTGCAGTTTGCTGTGTTATTTTTGAGGGTGGTACATCGGCGGCAACTTCAATTTGACGAGTATTTCCGGCGCTCGGAGCAGGTGCTTCGGGATCTCGTCGATGAAGCTTTACTGGGGGTTGAAACTTATCTAACACATTATTTCCTCGATGTAATCTCATAAGATTTACTTTCTTCATTGCGTTAATTATCGAGCCAGTTATAACAAATTCTTTAACAAGTTTTTTCTCTATTGGAGGTTGAACTGGCTTTTTGGGTGGAGGCCGTTTACGAGGTGGCATTAGATGCTTGGATCCCTGTGTTAACTTCTTTCTCTCTTCAAGAGTAAGCCGATTTTGTGGTTGCGATGTTGATGCTACGCTTTGATCTGCTATGTTAGCTGAAACTATAGTTTGAGATGTTAGATTATTTACAGAATGTCTTTGTTGACCTGTTGTGATATTTAGAGACATAATGCCTTGATTTACAGAAGAATGATTCATCTGTATAGTAGAATTATTTGCAGACTGACCTGCTTGAACGGTTTGAATATTTGCAGGTTGATTACTAATATTACTTTTAGGATTTATACTATTTACAGTAGACTGATCGTGTAAAGAACCAGCCTGAGAATTAATGCTTTCCGCGGAAGTTTCCTGAGTTGACAAATTATTGAACGGTGGTCGAACCTGGGACAACATGCTATTTGTCAGTCCGATCTGGTTTTGTGCGGCCACCCTTTCTTGTATAGATGTATAATTTGAAGCGAGCATTTGGTTGTGTCTCAATTGTGAAATGGCTGAGGGATTTATGGTTCTAACTTGAGGATTAATTGTTCTACCATTATTTACTAGTGGTCTTTGTAAGGTCGTTCTTCCATTATCAAGATAAACTTCTTGAGGCCTAAAGTTAGGATTGACAAAATTTTGTCTGGGTCTTCCCAGTTGGTTTTGTCTGGCGAGGTTTCCACCAGCATTTGTAGGAGAGAGGTTATTTTGGTTATTTTGAAGCGGGTTTTGAGACATTTTTGTGATAGATTTCGGAGCTATTCATAAAAGCCTTTTGCTCTTTTATCATATGAAAATGTTTTGAACAGCTGAGAATTTGAAACGAGGGTAGGTAATGATTGAACCTCAATACAAAAAATTAAACCTGTTATCACGTGATCATGTCGGACACAGTAAATCACTTTTTGGAAACAATATCAATCATTTTATTCTGCATCACGGACATTCACGGATAATTTCTCAAATTGCGCGATCAATTTATTTGCCCTGATCCTACAATTTATTATTTTAAAATATAGTATGTGTTTTTTTGTTTAAATTTAATTTGTCTTTTTAAGGAAGGATCGGCGCACATCACGCGTACTTTTTTTAATAACAATTACGATTGTTCTACAGTATATAAATACGTCCCTAAACTCTCAAAAACTCAACATAAAGCAGCATTTTGCGCCCCCTTTTTTTTTTTTATTATTTCAAATAACACTACAATATTTTCCTTAACCCAAAGAAAGTTAAAAAAGTAATTTCAAACATGCAAATCTTCGTAAAAACTCTTACTGGTAAGACCATCACTCTTGAGGTCGAGTCTTCCGATACTATAGACCAGGTCAAGGCTAAAATCCAGGACAAAGAAGGTAATATTTATAAAAAAAAAAAATAAAATTTCTTGTCGTTTTTTATATATGGAACTACAAATATATCAAGTTGCAAGTGGATAGGCCTTCTGCTGCGGCTGCGCCACGAATTTTACTTTGACATTTCTAACATTTCTCGACTTTCTATTTTGTTTTTCTACAGGTATTCCTCCAGATCAGCAACGTTTGATCTTCGCTGGCAAGCAGTTGGAAGATGGTCGTACTTTGAACGATTACAACATTCAAAAAGAGTCAACACTTCACCTCGTTCTCCGTTTAAGAGGTGGTGGCATGCAAATTTTCGTTAAGACACTTACTGGAAAAACTATTACCCTTGAAGTCGAATCTGCTGATACAATTGAACAAGTTAAAACAAAGATTCAAGATAAGGAAGGCATTCCCCCAGATCAGCAACGTTTAATCTTTGCTGGTAAACAATTGGAAGACGGTCGTACTTTGGCAGATTACAATATTCAAAAGGAATCAACTCTCCATCTCGTTCTTCGACTTCGTGGTGGAATGCAAATTTTCGTCAAAACTCTCACCGGTAAAACTATTACCCTTGAAGTTGAATCGACAGACACAGTTGATCAGGTTAAGGCCAAAATTCAAGATAAGGAAGGTATCCCTCCGGACCAACAACGTTTGATCTTTGCTGGAAAACAATTAGAGGATGGTCGTACCTTGGGAGATTATAATATTCAGAAGGAGTCGACTCTCCATCTCGTTCTTCGTCTTCGTGGTGGAATGCAAATATTCGTCAAAACTCTCACCGGCAAAACCATTACTCTCGAAGTTGAATCGACAGATACAATTGATCAAGTTAAGGCCAAAATTCAAGACAAAGAAGGTATCCCTCCGGATCAGCAACGTTTGATCTTTGCCGGAAAACAATTGGAAGACGGTCGTACCTTGGGAGATTATAATATTCAGAAGGAGTCGACTCTCCATCTCGTACTTCGACTTCGTGGTGGAATGCAAATTTTCGTTAAAACTCTCACCGGTAAAACCATTACTCTCGAAGTTGAATCGACAGACACAATTGATCAGGTTAAGGCCAAAATTCAAGACAAAGAAGGTATCCCTCCGGACCAACAACGTTTGATCTTTGCTGGAAAACAATTAGAGGATGGTCGTACCTTGGGTGATTATAATATCCAGAAGGAGTCGACTCTCCATCTCGTTCTTCGACTTCGTGGAGGTATGCAAATTTTCGTCAAGACCCTAACTGGAAAAACAATTACCCTTGAAGTTGAATCTTCTGATACAATTGATCAAGTTAAGGCTAAAATTCAAGATAAGGAAGGTATCCCTCCCGATCAACAAAGATTGATTTTTGCAGGAAAACAATTAGAAGATGGACGTACTTTGGGCGACTATAATATTCAAAAAGAATCTACACTCCATCTTGTTCTCCGTCTCCGAGGTGGACAATAGGCAATCAATCCTTTTCTTTTTTAGTTTTATATAGAGTAATTGCTTTTTTTTACTTTCTTTGGACAGTATTGTTTTTTTTTTTTATATTTTATTGTCTCGTTTTTTTACTAGCTTTATCATGTAAAATTCGAATTTAAAGACTTTTATATATTTAGTGCGTCCTTTAAAAAAATTTTTTTTTTAACAAAGTTATATATATATTTGGTTCCTTAACTAAATTCTTTTTATTTTCAATTGTTTAAAAGTGTAATAATAAAAATAATTATTATTATAAATTGTTAAAATATTAACATCGTTTATTGGTTGTAAATCGGGAATTGCGATAAAATTTTCTATATCTTTAATGAACCCTATTGCTATTTAAAGTCCAATTTAGGAAAAATTATTAGATATATATGGATAAAGTTCATTAAATATTTCACACGGATTACGAAAGTAACTTAATTGAGGAAAAATTTAAGTGGAAATAATTTTGTATTTAAGGATGAATTCATTCTTTTTTTTTTCTTTAAATTTTTCTTGTTCATAAAAAAAGGCGAGGAAAAAAAAAATGGCGGATGACAGTAATCTTTATGAATCATTTAATCGTAATTTAAAATATTATGCAAGTTTACTCATCCAAACCAATTCAAATCAAAAATTTTGGGATATAATTGCACTAACCTCAGGAAACTCACATCAAAAATCATTATATGAACGTCAAATCAAGCGTAAACTTGAAAGAAATGAAATTCCAAATTTCGGTGTAAAGTAATAAATACATCAAAAATAATCTTTTTTGTTTATCGTTGAAAATTGATTTTTTACAGTTTTTTGTTATAGATATCATGTGATAGCAGATCCACCCGGAAGTCATCAAATTGGTAGCGGTGGAAGTACATTGTTAGCGATGAAATTCCTTGATGACACATATGGATCAATTTTAAAACAAAGCAAGTTTTTATTCGATCATATCGTTGTATACAGGCAGTAATTGATATTTAAAATGTTTTAAAAATAGAGAAAGTGTTGTTGATTCACGCTGGAGGATATTCAACAAGATTACCTCACGTTAGCGCATCAGGAAAAATATTCATGAAAATACCAATCGGTAACTCGGTAGGAGGTAGGATGCGAGTTTTATAATATTTATCACGTGACATAAAGGAGTCGTTAATTTCGCAGTTTTTTTAGAACGAAATTGGATAGATTTATTTGATTTGAAGTTGGTCATTTATCTTGAATTAATCAATTATTTGAAGGATGGGGTAAGCGATTTTTTATACTCTCGATTTTAATCTGAAACTTTATATTAATTTTCGTTTCAAATATTAATGTAGACCGTGTTTCTTACTAGTTCAGATACAATTGAATTGATGTCATTTAATGGTAAAGATCATCTCTTTTTTTTTTTAAAAAAAATAAAACTATAAGTTAACGCAACAATAATTTCTCCAACCCAATGACAGCAAAGGATATTTCGTTACAATCTTCGATATATAATACATCATTTGTAGCATTAGCGCATCCATCCACATTGCACATAGGTACAACACATGGTGTATACAAAGTACAAGATGATTGTCAAGATGATAAATTATTACTTAAAGATCGTGGATGTTTCATTAAAATATGTAAAGAATATTTACATAAACCATCTATCGAATTTATGAGAAATCATAATGGAATTATTCATTTAGATGATGTGATTATTTTTTGAATTTATTTTTATTATGATTATTTAATAAATTAATTTGATGACATTATAAATTATTAGGGTGGAAATGAATTTGTCTATACGGACAGTACTTACTTCTTTGATTATACCATTTTAAAAGTATTTCTCAAGGTACGTAATATGATAATATTTAATTGTTTGAATGAACCGTTCTTACAAAGAAAAATATACCGAATACACAGATCTTGGATGAAATTCAACCATTAACATATGAGTTAGAAGCATGGTCTGATTTCTTATCAACAAAATCCACAAAACACTTCATAACACAAGAAATCTCACCATTAGAAAAAGCACAATTAATAATTCTAAAGGAGCTTTATTCTCTCGATAATCCAAAATTAAATGTTTTAATATTAAATAATTCAAAATTTTATCATATAGGAATCATGTTTGAATATTTAAATGAATGTTGTATGAATCCTCAATTCAAACATCAATTAGGAATTGTAACATTTAGTTCAGGAGAATCGTTAGATAAGAAATCTTCAAATAAAGGAAATATTTGTATGATAAATAGTGAGATAAATGAAAATACAGTATTATTTGAAGATTCTGCTCCTATAATCTTAGATAATGTTAAAATTCATAAAACTTTTGCTGAAGAAAATAAGGTCATAATCGGAGGATGGAGTATATTAAATAACATTGAATTAAATACATCAAATTTAATGTTAAAAGAAATTAGAATACCAAATCATACATGTATGTTTACTTTACATTTAAAAAAAATCTTAATCTCTAAAACTTCTTCTGTTTTTAATAAGGAAGAAGGTTATGTTACATTTATCTTTGGTACAAATGATGATATGAAAGCAAAGTATTCTTTCAATTCTTTAATTATTTATCAAAATATACTTGTACATAAAATCATTCTTTCACAATATTATAAATATATAAATTTACAAGAACAACTACCACCTAAATTAGCATTATGGAATACTCCTATATTTCCTATGACTAAAACTAAAGAACAATCTATTAAATTAGCTATACAAATGTTAGAAAAAATAAAAAAAGCAAAATATATGTTTGAAAATAATATTGTAGAAGAAGATAAAGAAATATATAAAGAAGATGATAGAGAAAATGATGAAATTATTATGTTTATATCACTAAAAATGAGTGTTGAAATAATGAAAATATTATAATTAATTTATTTAGTTTCTTTTATAAATTTTTTATTTTTTATATTTTTAAATATTAATAAATATCTAAATATTTTATATAACATTTATAAATCTATCTACTTATGCGATATTGATGCCTACTTATAGATATTGATGCCTACTTACTTGTTTTTACGTGTCTATGCCCTTCTGATGATTTATTGCTATCCATCTGTTTTCATTGGTCTGTGGCTATTTGGTCGCTAAATAGGGCAGATGATTGTTTTTTCATTCTGGAGTCTTTTAACGATTGTATAAGAGTAAAGTTGGTTTTTCCAGTCTATAACCCTTTTGGTTATCATATTTGAAGTCGAGGGTGTGGCCCATTTGCTGACCTTTTAAGTTGTTGAAATGGTGTAAAAAAAAATCGTGTCGAGTAATGTAGTAAATTCGGGATTGATTTAGCTGACATTATATCATAATTTTGGCTGATCTTTTGGACACATAATTTGAGGTTCCAACTTGGCGCTATGGTAGCGACCTGGTAGTATCCTAGAGCTGTCATGGAACTGGCAAGGAACTAGAGTGATTCTATTAGTCTGCCAGTTTTAGATCACCTATATCACGTCGGGTGGCGCAGTAAATTCGGGATTGATCACACGAAAAACAAATGGCTATACCACATTCCTGATAGATTGCGTTCCCATCAATAATTTTTGATTTACTACTATAGAAAGCATTTTCTTCAGAATAAACATGAAAACGTTTTTCTCTCTGATACATTCGTTTTATAAATGATCACAAAATTGGAGCGCTTTGGAAATTTCAGAACCGGAGATACCATATGTCATCATATGTGATAATGAATTTATAAGAAATAAAAAAGCGTCCCAAGAAGGGCCAGCCAACTTCGGTATCACTTTTAGTATATTTTTATCTCACACAAAAACTCGACTGGTACTGAACACCTTCTGCCATATAATATAGCAAATTCGGTTAATTCTATTAGTTTACCAGTTCAGAGGTATGATATGCATTATTATGGCCAGCCCATTTGATTACCAAAAGTACGCCATCTTACAACCTAACTATTGTCCATTAGTTGCCAGTATATTTATGCTGATTTTGCGTCCTGAAGTTGGAGGTGCGCTATGTATTATCATGGCCGGTCCATTTATTTGCTAAGAAGTACACCATCTTATAACCCATTTTTGCGCTGGTATAGGGCAAGTTTTATGGTTAAAGCAATATTTTTACATATTTTTGAGATGAATTCCGT